CCTCATTAGCAGCTGATCTGCACAGTGAAGCAAATATATCTCTTTAGCTCTTTACCTGTGCAAAATGAAAATCAAGTAAATAAATCTATATAAAGAATAATGGATGTAAAGGAGCAATTTATATACAGACCTCAATCCAAAAAAATCTGAGACAGTGTGTGAAATGCAAATATAAACAGAAAGCACCGATTTGTAAATTCACTTTGAACTGTATTTGAATGAAAACAGACAAAGTAATTGTTTTATACCATCAACTTCAGCATTTTTCTTGTATCTCTAAAATGGTAAATTTACAGGAGAAGAAAAGAAAAGCATTCTTAACTTTTACTGGAAGTTAATGCAACAAGATCTTATTCTGGGCACTTTTGAACTATTTCTGTGGGGCCTTCAACATGTTCCCAAAAAGTTGAGACTGGGGCAAAGTAAGACTTGAAATGTGAAATGTTCAAAAAAACATTTTGAAAGCATTGACACAATCATTTTTGGGTATAAAAGGAATATAAATACCATTTGTCACAGCATTAACAAATGCAAGTTAAGACTATACTATGCACAATAGAAGCCATATGTCGACAATGCCCTGAACTCCCGCTGTACTGTGGTTTGAGGACTTAACCATTCAGACTGTTTAATGAAAGAAGGGACCATCCTCGTTACCAGCGTAAAGTTATAAAAAGGGTTTGTCATGGCATTACAGCCATTATTAACTTACACATCTGTGAAGGCACCTGAACACAGTACAGTTGTGTGCAAAAGTCTGGGCCCCCCTGGTCAAGTTATGTTTTGTTGATTTTCAGATTTTTTGAAGTGCAATTAAGTACACATCCTATACACAGAACACACTTTATCAAATTACAGTTTATTTGCTGAATTTCACATATTGGAAAAAAAAACATAGTGTAGCCTAGTGTAGTGTGTAGCCTATGTGAAAGTTTTAAGTTTTATATTTTTCAAATGTATTAAACTCATAAATAGAAAATTTTAGCTAAAATTTGTATTAAAAAGTCATAAAGTTTGTTCCCTGTATAGGATATGGTAACTTATTCACACTTAGAAAGCCAACAGAATATGTAGTTAATTTTATGCCCAAAGTTTCATATGATATAATAAAATCTACAAGGAAAATTTTAACCATCAAAATGTCTAACATATGTTGCAAATATAAATGACAAGTTCTCAAAACTATTACTACTCATTTTCATGCATTTTGATATAAATGTATTGCTCATTTTGCCAGTCTTTGCCTTAATTTTTTCTATTTGTTCATTTTGCTGTTTTTTTGTTGTTTTGTTTTTGCTTCTGAAATCGCTCTTTTGCTTCTAATTTATTTTTTTTTTTACTTCTGACATTTGGTACAGTTTTCCGGGAGGCAGGTCTTAGACTTCACTCTCTATGTCAGTGTGACCCAACATGGTGGAACATGTACTGAGTGCTGCTGGGTGTTACATTGTACTTACATGTTTGACATTATGAGCAATATGTGTCATATTCCTTTTGAATTATTAATGTCACTATTAACTGAAGCAAAATACTGCTTAAAACAATTTACAAAACTAAAATTGTGTAATGGAGGAGTTACTCTGCAGTTTATGTAATTAAGGGGTATGTATTACATATGTAGCATCAGATGTAGGTATATTGGTATGCTCCATTTGGTAATGCATGAATTGTGTAAGGCTTCAATTAGCAGAACTAGCTAGTAGCCATTAATAATGCAGGTACCCAGAAAGTGGCTCTCTGTGCAGCTAACAATTTAGCACTGTAGCTAGCTGGCCTGGAAATAGCATTACCAGTTAGCTAAAAATAAAAAACTTCTACCACGTTCATACTGCAGTTAGTCTGGGTCTTCACTCCAGACCTGTTCACCTTGGGAGACTCTACCAGGAGTATATTGCTCCAGATGACATAGCTCTGAAGATCCCTAGACCACACACAGGCCCTTCCATCACGGCAAGGCCCTGATCCAGCGGCGAATACAAAATGAGGGCGGCAGGCTACACTCTACTTGATAGGGTTAATAGCTCGGTCATCCAGGAGGAGCTCAGAGTACAGCCGCTACTCCTCCGCATTAGGAGGAGCCAGTTGAGGTGGATTGGGCATCTGATGAGGATGCCCCCTGGATGACTCCTGGTGGGGGTTTACCAGGCATGGCCTACTGGGACAAGACCCCGGAGTTGTCCTAGGACCTACTGAAGGGATTATATCTCTAACTTGGCCTGGGAGCAGCTCAGGGTCCCCTGGAATGAGCTGGAGGAAATTGCAGGGGACAGGGTCTTCAGGGAATAGAAAGCCAACTTCAGCCTCATCAACTCTCAGAGGTCTCTACATCATTGAAACGCCCTTGCCTGATCTAAGAACTTCTTTCTTATCTCATCTTTTTTATTCAGATCTTCTGCTCATTGGCTATTTCTTGGCCATCTCTCTTTCTTGACAATGCCTGGAGTTGCTGAATGGGAGGAATAGTTTTGTGTCTCGGTCTAAGAGACTTTGTGTACAAACACCTTATTTTTTCCAGCATGCACACAGACAGCTAGCGAGCTGTGAGGAGATATTTGCTGAATTTGCCAAAAGGTGTATTGGACTGAAATCGTTTATTGTGCCTTTAACACCCTCAGGACCATCATGACCTTCAGACAAGGCTTAATGATTTCTAGGAATGTCAATTTTTTGTTCATTCTTAATTAATAATTTAATCATAATAGCTGTATTTAACCCCATAAGATGCCAGGCTTATTACATACCAAGGCCTATTATTCAGCAACTACATGGACTACAACGCAAACTGAGCTATTCCGAGGTTATAGAAGTCTGTAGTAAAACTTTGAAGCCACCAGTGGGTCCTGGCCATTTAAGGGCCTAAACTCTGCATGTATTGTAGTAATACAGTTAATTTATTGTTAAGTTTTGTTTGGAAACAAAAATCCAAGATCTTGAAACACCCAACTAAAATTGTAGAACACCTTTGTACTACAGAATTGTAAAATTAATATTATATATATATATAATATTATATTATATATAATATTAATAGTAGTAGTAGTAATAATAGTTAGGAGTCCACTTCAATGTCGGGTGGGCAGCTAGTCCAAGGCAGGTGGCGGTGACTGGGGCGTGGGCAACTGGTCTGAAGCGGGTAGCAGGAGAGCTTGACAGACAATCATCCATCAGTGTCCAGCCGGACAGGTGGGCAGTCGTTTACTCGGAAAAAGGTGGGGAGATGGAGTTAGTTTAGTTCTGTATGGGTGTATGTATAATAATAAGTAAATCATTTCCAGAGTGAGGCTAATGACTCCGGCAGATCTGACTGTAACAGCTTAACTAAAAGGAGAGAACCAAAAGGGCACACAGATACTAACATTGGTTAAACTGAAGTTCTTACCCATTAGATAAACTACCACCATAACTAGGAAGTGACAAAAGAATCACCAATCACATTTTGACTTCCAATTAATGAGACCAGTTTTGTGGAAAAAACATCACTATGGGCCTTCTGGAAGTCCTATACTTGTCACTGACTTTAAACATGAGCAGTAGCTTATCAGGTTTCAGTCTCAGTTTCAGGAAAACAGCAGCAGTAGGCCTTTTTACTGAAAAAATAACTGTAAAAGTGTATCATACAATGTAAAATATGTGTTAATGTCTGTTGTAAACTTCAAATAAAAACATAGATTGTCTTGTACAAGTTTTAAATTTCCAAGTTTAATCTAGAACAGACATTTTTTAATGTGCACCAGCGTTTGCTTACTGCTAACATACAATTAGAAATGAGAGTTATTGTAGAGGCGACTTTTATTTTCATGGTGTTGAATGAATTTTAACATTTATGGCCTGAATTGAAGGTCTAGGTCTAAAAGTCACAGTTTGCTACTGGTTATTACATCATACCTTACTGTACAGTTCAGGTCAGCCTCTGCGCACTCCAGCATCTGGTTTTAGGGTGTTGTGCAGAGTACTGAGATCATTGGATGTTAATTATATTCAGTGTGCGAAATACCCTCTGGTATTCAGGGGGTCTCATGTTGGCTGGCTTGTAACTCACTCGCCATAGCGGCTTTGATGCTAGCTAGCTTCAATGGCAACAAAATGTTTGGTTTAACATTTCTTTTTTTTGGAAATGCTTTTTTTCTAGTTTGGTAATATGGTCTTCCACACATTAATTGAGATTTTCACATCTCTCTTGTGTATTTGGTTTGAGAAATGAGTAACAATTCACTCTTTTTCACCAATATCTTGGGAAATTATTTCCTTTTAAGTTTTTCAGAGGTATCCTAAACATAACAGTTGTTAGTCTATGAAGGACTAACTGGGTAAACTAATTTGCTATAGCACCAGCCTGAGGTATACCAGTGCTCCATCTCAAGTTAGTTAGGAATACCAAAGAGAGAAGTTTGCTGATTTTGGGTGAAGCAGACTAAACAATGACCTTTCCCTGAATTTGTATTTCAGTGTCTATTATTTTCTAATGGACAACATAACATTCTAATAAGTTTATTTTCAGGGACCCCCAGAATCCCCCAGAACAGACGGCAACATCTGGAGTACAGAGAGCTAGAAATATTTTTATTGATGACTCTCATTCTGTAATGATTTTAGCCACAATGTTCTTAGCTCAGACAAAATCTGAGCTAAGAACAAAATCTTTGATCTGTTACAAACACCAGATAAGTCCAAAAAAGCTGTGCATGCTTCTCACAACTGGTCCTTAAGTATGGTCAGTTTAGAGATGCTATTCAATCTAGTTTTGTTATTTATACCATCACCACTGTGTACTGTAGTACCCAGGAAATGGAGAGCTCTGGCAAGTGTATATATGCCTTTTTTGGTGTGATAAGAATTGATGTATTAATGCATTTATTTGAGTTTATGATACAAATATATGTTTTTTTCCTTTCTTTCATGACAGAATGGAGATTATTACAAGTTACAAAGTGCAGCTTATTAGATGGTTACGTCAGGATTCATTCATTTTACAACATGTGCATTCAAAGAACCTTATAACAATGGATGAATACATCATGCTGAAGTATATCCAAGATCCAAGTGATAAAATTACAAAGCTCTTAGACATAATTCTTGACAAGGGCTATTCGTCCTGCCTTGCTTTTTTGGACTTGTTGAAAGAAGACAGTGTGAATGAGTCCAGCCCAGAGCTCAGGGAGTGGAGAGCAGCAGTGAACAGCTCAGGTAGAGCACCACCAAGTATGCACATACTGATAATATGCACAAATATAGTTCACTTCTGAATCATATACACTCTTACTGGTGACTAGCCGACGACATACCTTAGATAGACCAAACACTTAGTGTTCACTATCGGACCATGTACACACAAGACACAACCTCCACCACCAAGCATGCGCTCACAGCTCTCTATTGGATCATATACACCATAGATACACAAATAACACACACTCTGTTCACTATTGAGTCATTTAAACCTCACACACACCACCTCCACCAGACATGCACACTACTCAGTACTGGACCATATACATCTCATATAAGCTGCTACCACAAAGCATGCACTCAACCTGCTGCATGGTGCTGATAGTGTTTCTCCAGAATTCTGTGTTTTCTGTTGAGGTTTTTAAGCTTCTTAATGGCTTGTTCATGATTAAACACTGATTGGCCACTTCTTTAAAACCACTTCCTTGTTTCTATACTCATAATCTTTTTTATCAGCTCCACTTACCATATAAATGCCCACAATTACAGAATGTAGTGCATCTCAGCATACTTTGTTAGACCACTTTTACCCTGTCCTTTAATGGTCAGCGCCCCCACAGGACCACCACAGAGCAGCTATTATTTGAGTGGTGTTGGCATGTTAGTGTGTGTTGTGCTTGTATGAGTGAATCAGACACAGCAGTACTCCTGGAGTTTTTATACTCTGTCCAGTCACTGCCCACTATATTAGACACTCCTACCTTGTTGCTCTACATTGTAGATGTAAAGACAGAGATGGTAGCTCAACTGTTGCTGTGCAGTTTGTGTTGAGTCGTCCTGTAGTTCTCATCAGTGGTCACAGGACTCTGACCACAGGATTCTGTTGGCTGGATGTTTTTAGTTGGTGGACTGTTCTCAGTCCAGCAGTGTGCACTGCTGTGTCTGATCCACTCATACCAGCAAACACACTCTAACATGCCTCTGCCACATCAGTGAGAGATAATGGTCTGGAGCTGTTTTTCAGGGTTAGGGTCAGCCCCATAATTCCAGTGAAAGGTAATGTTAATGTTACAACATACAAAAACATTTTAGACAAAGTCCAACTTTGTGGCAACAATTTATACTATAGAAGGTCCTTTTCTGTTCAAGCACGACTGTGCCTTTGTGCAGGGAACACCTTTGGGAGTAACGGGAACTGTGAACCAGGCCTACTTATCCAACATCATGCCTGACCTCACAAATGCCCTTTTGACTGAATGGGCACAAATTCCCATAGACATACTCCAAAATCTTGTGGAGGCTGTTATGGCCTCAAAGGAGGGGGCAATTCCACATTAATGCCCAGGGTTTTGGATGGGATGCCACATAGTTGTGATGGTCAGGTGTCCACATACTTTTGGTGGTATAGCATAGAAACATGTATGCTGATTTGTCGATCCCCTAATAGCGTGTTTGGAGAAATCAGACAGACATCAGATTTTAACAACAGCTACAATGACAATGCCATGCCAATGACAACAAATGCTGAATGTTCAGTTTCTTTGTGGTCATTTTTTTATGATAGTTGCCTTTGACTGACTCCAGTCACTGAAAGAGCAAAGTAGCATGAAACTTATCCCACTTTATCTGATCTCCTACTTTAGCTCAATCTATCATATGAATAAGAATGTGTGAAATGTCACTCCATTTACTCACTCTTTAATCATTATGTTTCTCATATCTGGGATTGCTGCCTGTCTGAGTGTGACAGTTTACAGTTTGTTGTTTGGTTGTGCAGTGAAAAGTGGTTTTAACAAAGCTGTTGTTTCCATCCCCCCACCATCACCCAGTTCAGGCAGCTTCTAGCACAACTCAGCCTGGAGGCGCCACTAACACTTCTATTCTCAATGAAGGTAAAAGTGCTACCATAATGATGTGTTTGGACTCAATGTTAACATGACAATTTCAATAATTTCTTCTTCAAAATTTTGATATGCATTTTCTTTTAGATACTGAAATACAATGCGGTTGTTAGTTATTTACAAGTAATCGATGAATCAATCAATCGATAGAGCGATCAGTTGATCAATCAATCAATCAATTAACAGCAAACAACTAATTAATTAAAATTAATATTAAAATTGATTAATTTAACCAAATTCTTGCCTTCTTCTTGCCAGCAATGGGCTATTGTCCAGAAATACGCATGAAATATTAAATTTTCATTTGTTTTCTACAGATGCACATAGAAAAGTTGAAAGTGAAAAACTTAAACAGGACATCAGAAAGCGATGTGAAACATTATATGAAGGGACAGCAGCAAAGGGGAGACACAACTTCCTTAATGAGATTTACACAGAGCTCTATGTAGTTAAGGACCGGGCACTGAGCATGGACCATGAAGTGATTCAGATTGAAGCCGGATCTTTGAGACATGCTACCCCAGACACTCCAATCAAGTTCAGTGATGTTTTTAGTGGCAACTGTAATGCTAAAAAAGTGCTCACATTGGGAATAGCAGGGATTGGGAAAACAGTCTCTGCTCAGAAATTTGCTCTAGATTGGGCTGAAGGAAAAGGCAATGCAGATTTAGATTTTGTTTTTATTATTCCTTTCCGTGAGCTGAATCTTCTACAAGATAAACCATATAGCCTCCATGGACTTCTTCTTTGCCTTTACCCAAAACTCAAAAATTTAAAAGAAACTGGCCTTTTTGATGATAAATGTAAGTGTGTTTTCATTTTTGATGGACTGGATGAAATAAGAAAGCCTGAAAGTCAAAAATTGAATTTTGAACAGAATAAAATGTCAGCTACAACAGAGAAGGCAGCAGTTCATGTACTAATAACAAACCTCATCACAGGAGCTTTGCTTCCATCTGCTGTCATCTGGATCACCTCCAGGCCTGCAGCAGCAGAGCAGATCCCCTTAAAACACATCCACCTAGTAACAGAAGTACGAGGATTCGTCACTGACCAACAGAAGGAGAAGTACTTTAGGAACAGAATCAGTGATAAGGATCAAGCTAGCATAATCATCTCACACATTAAACAGTCAAAGACGCTCTACAACATGTGCTACATACCGGTCTTCAGTTGGATCACATGCTTTGTATTTCAACAAACACTGGAACGATGTAACGAGGCAGAGGTCCCTAAAACCTTAACTGAAATGTATACTCACTTTCTTACCATTCTGATGGACATGAGGAGTAAAAAATGCAACAGTCATCAGAAAGACACAGAGAAACTGCTGGAATCCAGCAGAACCATGATTCTGAAACTGGGTGAACTAGCTTTCAAGCAGCTGATGAAGGGCAATGTGATGTTCCATGAAAAGGACCTCAGAGAATGTGGCATTGATGTCGCTGAGGCCTCAGAATATTCTGGGATTTGCAATGAGATCTTTAAGGAAGAATCTCTGTTTTACCAGAGGAAGGTCTACTGCTTTGTTCATTTGACCTTTCAGGAGTTCTTGGCTGCTCTCTATGTGTTTTACTGTTACATGAGCAAGAACATGAAGGTACTGAAGTTCTTTACACCAAGGTACAGAGCGTGGTCTGAGAATGGTACACTGCATGAGCTGCTGAAAGGAGCAGTGGATAAAACCTTAGAGTGTCCAAATGGACACCTGGATCTTTTCCTCCGTTTCCTGCTGGGCAGCTCACTGGAGTCCAATCAGAGACTCCTACAAGGCCTACTGACACACATACAGAGCAGCTCAAGCAGTATCAACAAGGCAGTCGAATACATCAGAAAACAAATAGAGTCAGGGCGCTTCACAACTGAAAAATCCATCAGTCTTTTCCTCTGTCTGTCAGAAGTGAATGACCAGTCTCTCTCCACAGAGATTCAGGAGTATCTAAAATCAGAGAAACACTCCAAAGAGAAGCTCTCCCCTGGACAGTGTTCAGCCCTAGCATGCATGCTTTTAATCACAGAGGAGGTGATGGATGAGTTGGACCTGAAGAGATACAACACATCAAGTGAGGGTTACAGGAGACTGATCCCAGCTGTGACAAACTGCAGAAAGGCTCGGTGAGTGTTCCATCCAATATGTTACATTCAGCAAATAAACAGTCATGTTTATTGCATTAAAATGTGCAGAAGTGTGTTCTCTCCATATTTTCACTAAAATCAACAAAACCTGTCATTTGACCAAGGGAACACAAACTTTAGTACAGAACAGTATCTATATTTGAATATTAAAAGAGAAAGGTCAAATGACCAGATATAATTTTTTGTTTATTTAGCAGTCATACTGTACAGTCTTATAATAAAGCAGGAAATGATGATGCACTGTGCACAGGCCAGCAGGTCTGCTCATAGTTAAGCAATAAATATTAAAGTGGTAGTCCAGACCATTAGAGGTGAGACTGAGTCAAGAACAAGACCTGGACATATCAAGTTAAGACCAAAACTGTAGTGCCCCAGTCAAGGCTGAGACTAGTAGTGGGCAGGACCCTGTCCAGACCAAGACTATTTTAAATTTTTTCAGAATATTAAAATAAAGTAAAAAAAAAAATCATGATACTGAAGACGAAGCATGCAGCTCACATTGACTTTACAATATATTCTTCTGTACCTTCTTCTCAAACTAAACGTTAGGCTATATAACAAGCATTTTAACTGATAGAATGATGAATGAAGATTGTTTTTTGCCCATTAGCCACACTGAGTACAAACCTTATTTTAACATGTAGAGAAAGGACTGTTATATTGTTTGAATGTTTAGTGGATGTTAGTGCTGTTACTTTTGTCAGTGTCTTTTTTTTAATACTTAAGTATTAAACATAACAAGAAAAAATTATGTATCATGACATACTGTGTCGTGACTTCTTGACATATCATGATCGTCAAATAATAGGCTAGAGGTTTAACTGAGCTTCATGTGTATAACCACCATAGCTTGTACTGCACAGCTGGTGTAAAGGGCCATCACAATTGAGTGATTAATGTTGCTTGTTTAAAATGTTGTGGGTTAAAGTGCAGTTTACTTTGCATAGCTGCACTCCCAAGGAAAAGGAAAAAACTAAAATATATTAAGCCTTGCAACTGACTGGTTTAGAAAAATGTCCTCCTTACCCTGACACTGAAGCAAAAGAAAACAGAAATAAACGAAGTCTTGCATTTCACTGGTTTAGATAAATATCCTCTTTATCCTGAGACAAGACCAAGTAAAGATAATGTTCAGTAGCTGTGATTGATATGCATCACTGTTCTCAGTGTTTTCATGTATGAAAAACCATAAGTAACATGACAATATTAAAAGTAGAGCCACAATAATTAAAGATTTTTGCTGTTGTAAACACAAAAACATAAATTCTGTCGTAAAACAGACTACACTGTTTATTCTGTATAACACAAGCAAAACAACTTGGTGTTGCTAATATAAAAAGGGTTATTTAGCTGCAGTCTATGCATGGATTAATTGTCATATATTTTGCTGTATAGATAACTCTGGATCCAATTTCATTAAAGTAATCCCTGTTGGAATTTTGTGACCTATTTTTCTCAGAATTTTAATTTGTTTTTTTTAAAGAGGATTATATTTTTTCTGAATTTCCCATGTTAAAGTTAATGGAGCACCATCCTAAACACCAGTTACTAAGCTTCACTATTTCATCTCCTTGATCTTTGTTATATGAAGTAAGCTTTCCATAGTAGTCCCCCTACCATTACTATGGTTCAACACAAACCCTGTGATCTAACTTACTGCTAACAACTTTCCCTGTGGCAAACACTGTGTTGCTTCCAGGTGCAGATTCATTCTTTCTAGGTACTAAACATTATTTTCTCATGATTTTCTGACTTGAAGGATGCTTATAATCTTTGTAGAAATGAAGTATTTAAAGAATATTTGTCTAAACCTCTCTGACCCTGTAACGCTCGGACAGAAAACCAGACGTGTGCGGATGGTGAGTGCAGATGGTTTAACAAAAACCAAGCGGCCGTAGTCAAAAGGGGAAAAACAGAGATCGTAGTCAAAAAACAGTCCGAAAGTCAGAACACAGATCATACACACAAGCGAAAGTACCAAAGGAATAGGCAATAGTCAAAAACGGAGTCAAACGAAGCAAAAAGGTCAAACACGGTAAACAATCAGAACAGGAAGAAAAAACGCTCAGTAGTCTCAGAGAAACAATACCTCGCAGTGATTCTATCTAAAGCCCGGGCTTATCTACTCTAAACTACCTGTCATATGATCATCAACACAGGTGCAAGCAGTCAAAACTCAGGGGATTGTGAGCGCTGATAGGAGCGCCTGTGAGAGTCTGAAGTCACATGAGACTCCATAGTATCCTGGGAAATGGAGTTCACATCCGAGTCGGATTCCGAGTGCGGCTTCTCAGTCACATGATCTCCCAGAGAATTCTGGGAGATGATGTCCGTTTCCTCCATAGAGGGAGCTGAATGCATGACAGTACCCCCCCCAAAGAGTCCGGGTGGGCCACGGAATGAGGGTCACCAGGACGACCACTCCTCCCACCACCGGGTCGATGAACAGGGGCCGAAACTGAGCTGTTGAGACGCTGGACCGTATCCTCACGGTTGTTCCTCCGACGGGTGGGCAAAGGACCGGTGAGCCTTTTGCGTGGACGTCCTCTGGGACGAGGAGCAGGTCTGCCAGGGTGCCGTTTGTGAAAGTCTCGGATGAGACCGGGGTCTAACACATCTTTGGCCGGCACCCAACATTGTTCCTCGGGACCATACCCCTCCCAGTCCACTAGGTATTGCAGGAGCCCGCCCCGTCTCCGGGAGTCCAGCAGTCTGCGAACAGCGTATACTGGAGCCCCGTCTATCACTTCCGGTGGCAGGGGCGTCACGTCTGGTGTCGCCTCATCCATGGGCCCTGCAACCACAGGTTTAAGTAGAGAAACATGGAATGAACGAGAGACTCTGAACCTCGGGGGTAAATCTAAACGGTAAGTCACCTCATTGATACGTTTGATTATCTTGAAAGGCCCTATATATTTAGGCAAAAGCTTACGGCAACTCCCCTCTGGACGTCGAAAGTCCCTTGTAGACAGCCACACTCGGTCTCCGGGATTGAACGTTGGAGTCGGACCCCGGTGTCTGTCTGCCTGTTCTTTCTGACGTTGCAGTACCTCTTCAATGTGTTGATGTGTCTGCTCCCACACCTGTTCACTGCGTTTCATCCAATCATCCACTGCAGGAACATCTGTTTGGACCCCAGTCCAAGGTGCAAGAGGGGGCTGGTACCCTAGAATACACTGAAAAGGAGTCAGTCCCGTAGAAGAGCAAGTCAATGAATTCTGTGCGATTTCTGCCCAACTCAGATAAACGGACCAATCAGCAGGATTGTCATGGCAAAATAATCTCAAGAATTTTCCAAGTTCCTGATTAGCCCTCTCGCATTGTCCATTGGACTGTGGGTGATACCCCGATGACAAGCTCAGTGACACTCCCAGATGCTCGAAAAAGGCTGCCCATACCTGTGAGGTGAACTGAGGTCCCCTATCAGAAACAATGTCCTCTGGAATTCCGTAGATCCTGAATACAAACTGGAACAGGGCCTCTGCAGTCTGAAAAGCACTGGGCAGATTAGAAAAAGGTACAAAACGAACCCCTCTGGAAAATCTATCAATGACCGTCATAACTGTCGTGAAACCTTGCGATTCTGGTAGGTCGGTGACGAAATCAACTGCAATGTGGGACCATGGTCGACTGGGTATGGGTAATGGCAGCAATTTCCCAGCTGGTAACAGTTTAGGTGTTTTGCACTGAGCACAGGTTGAACAGGAAGAGATGAATGAATGGATGTCTTGATTCATGGATTCCCACCAGTATCTATTAGCTAACAGTTTGTGGGTACGGGTTTCTCCTGGATGGCCTGAAGTTAATGATGAATGAGCCCAAGTTATCAGAGAAGTTCTGAGTGGCTGAGGAACATACAGTTTCTCTGGGGGACAATGCTCGGGTACTTGCGTGTGGGACAAAGCCTTCTCTATTTCCTCATCTATTTGCCACCTAATAGACGAAATGTTCACCTCAGGAGGAAGGATCCTTTCTGGGGTCTCGTTCTGCAAATGGTTCGTCTCGTGTTGATATTTCCTGGATAGGGCGTCAGCTTTGGTGTTACGAGACCCTGGTCGATAAGTAATACTGAACTTAAAACGTGAGAAAAAAAGCGACCATCTAGCCTGTCGTGCATTAAGCCTCTTCGCCGTGCGAAGATATTCTAAATTTTTGTGATCCGTCAAAACAGTGAAAGGATGGTTGGCGCCTTCCAACCAATGGCGCCACTCCTCTAGCGCTAGCTTGACAGCCAATAATTCCCTATCCCCTATACCATAGTTTCTCTTCGTGGGTGACAATTTATGGGAGAAAAATGCTACGGGGTGTAGCTTGGCCGGAGATCCCGTCCTCTGGGATAAAACTGCGCCTACCCCTGTCTCTGATGCATCCACCTCCACCACAAAAGGTTGTGTGGGATCAGGGTGATTAAGAATGGGTGCGGTGGTGAACGCCTCCTTGAGAGATTGAAAGGCCTTCTCTGCTTGTCCATTCCATGTGATCTTCTTTGGATTTCCTTTTAAAAGTGAAGTCAGCGGGGATGCAATGGAGCTAAAGTTTCTGATAAATCTACGATAAAAATTAGCAAATCCTAAAAATCTCTGCAGCTCCTTTACTGAAGTGGGTTGTGACCATTCGACCACTGCTTCCACCTTGTGGTCATCCATGACAATTCCTTGTTGACTGATGATGTACCCTAAAAATGAGACAGACTGGAGGTGGAATTCGCACTTCTCCCCTTTTAGGAACAAATTATTCTCTAATAGTCTTTCTAACACAACTCGAACATGCTGTACATGGGTATCAAAGGAAGGTGAGTAGACTAGAATGTCGTCCAAGTAGGCGATTACAAAGTGTCCCAGCATGTCTCTGAGGATGTCGTTTATGAAGGCTTGGAACACCGAGGGGGCGATAGAGAGCCCGAATGGCATCACCAGATACTCATAGTGCCCCCTTGTGGTCAAAAACGCTGTCTTCCATTCATCACCTTCCTTAATTCT